TGGTTTGAGCAGCCCATGAGGGATGTTGAGCAAGGCATCGCACAGAGAGTTGCCCAGTATGCAGGCTTCTCTGGGAGGCATGTTGTCCTGCATAAGGGTTGCCTGCCCGAGTCTCCCTTTCCCAGAAAAACGGCAGAGGACAGGTCGAGAGCGCTTCGGGTCAAGCTAACAGCCTGATGGCGACTCTTGTACACAGTCTTAATGTTTGATTGGGAAGGTACAACCTCTGCCTCTATCCCTCAACATATGGGTAACCTATTTGCTTGTAAAAATATAAAGCCTTATCATTAATTAATAAAAAAAGGGGGATCTGTAGGGAGCCGTCCCTGCATTCTCCATTACAATGATGGTGCCTGCAGGCACTGAATGTAAATTATTTCGCAGGTGCTGGGTAATTTGCCATTTCCTTGATCTCTGCCTATCCCGTGGCTCATATGGCCTGAGGAGCTGAAGCCATTCATAGGGTGACACGTCCCAGGCGGCTACTGCCAGCCTTTATTAGGGGACGGGATTCTTGGCTCGGGGTCTCCGCTCTGGTAAGCTTATGCTCTCCTCTCTCAAGATGCATTAAAGCTTTCCTGCAGAAGGATCCGAATGTCCTGTGTGATTCTTGCCGGCGAGAATATCGCGCGGGACAGACTGCCTCAAAAATAAATAAAAAAATAAAAAAACCAGAATTTATGCAGAACATATATAGACACTCTTATTTCTTGTCATTACTCCATAAACAAGTCAGTACAACAAAATATTATTTACATTATATTAAATGTTAAAAGTCATCTGGAACTGGGGTTGTAGCTCAGTGGCAGAGTGCTTACCTAGCAAACATATAGCCCTAATTGCAGTCTCCAGCACTTAAAAAAAGGAATCTTGGGATGACTTAAACTACACAGGGATGTACATATGTTACAAGAAAACACAGTGTCCTTTCATACAGGACTGGAGTAACTGTGGATTTTGGTATCCACAAGATCTGGGAACCAATCTTTTGTACACATGAGGGACAGCTGTCTTACCAGTACTATGATCACTACTAACCAAGTGTTGGCAAAAATTCTCACTTTCTACTGATAAATATGGCATAGAGCACCCCAGCCTAGTGTACCTCCTGAATTGAGGGTGATCAGGTTCACTTGCCCTAACCTTCAACTAAGGATTCCCAGGCTACGAAGTCAGAGACACACCATGGGGTCTGAAGTGTCTACTGAATGTTAGAACTGAGATGGCTTTTAAGGATGCTGCACTATACTTAGCACTGATCTGTCTCCTCCTACCAAAGTTTAAGAGCAGAGGATTCAGCTAGATATCCCTTGGGAATCAGTGGATATTTGTTTTCTCTTTTACTTTAGAGGAGAAAGCTGCTCTATTTCTTTGCCTGATTATAGTCATTCAGAAGCAAGCCTGTTGGTCACGATTGCTGGCTATTTAGACATTGGATGTTTTTGTAGGCTAACTAGTCATTGCTTTGGGGTCCTTGTATCCAGATTTATAACATAATTGCAACCATTTAAATCTTACATGTGGTTTGACTTTTAATTTAAGCAGTGCTCTCTATGTGTAGGAGAAAATCATTAGAAATTCACAGTGATACTAGGCTGCATGTAGAATGACAATTTACAATGAAAATTTTAGTTATAGTATCAACTTGCCTCCACCAGTAGCATGTTAGATTGAGAAATACAGAGTTACCTCTTATAATTATGTTTGATATGCTTTCAAAACAACAGTATCCTTACAGTTAGAGGTAAAATAAAAGTTGCTTAGAGCTAGTAACCGCCAGTAGAAATTTCAGATTCTTAGGTCAAGTCTGTACCTGCAGAGCAGCAAGCTGCAGCTCCATGCCTGGCTTACCATGTCACAGCAGAGATAAAATATTAGGTAATGTTAGTTAGACAGCTGATAGGCTAGAGCTGAGCTGGCTGAAGAGTCACAAAAATAAAATGGGCTAATATTAAGATACTGTCATTGGCATCAATTAGAAATAATGCAATTTTACAACTGAAAGAGACTTACACTGAGTATTTTTCTCAATTACAATGCCTCTTTCAAAGCTCATTTTTAAGTTTTAAAGAATAATTATAATGCTAGATTTCATCTGTAATATCCTCAAGTCTAACTAATATTGTAATCTTCATATGCTAATTTCCTCAGCCTGACTCTATAAAATGTAATTTCTTTTTTACCATTAGTAAGGATGGTGGCTTTTACTCTGCAGGCTGGTAACTTGTTTTGTTTGTAATAATCCTTCTAACGACATGTTCCC